TTTTTTTTTTTTAATAGGAAAGAAATCACTGGAGGGTGAATAATCATCTTGTGTTGTCATTAATTTAGCTATGAATTATCTGTTCATAAATGACACTCACTACCCATAAATTGAAGCTTTTGTTAAAACAATGTTTCTTTCACTTGGTATGTGTGTAAAGAAGTGAGATTTTGAAGAATGGTAGCATATCTGTTATGGATGCAGTGAATTAGTGACTACTGGGGTTGTTGTTATTAAGATAAAACTGTAGAGGTCAGTAAAGTACACTAGAGAATTAGTACTATTTAACCTTTAAAAATTTCTTTCAGGGTTGGTGAGATGGCTCAGTGGTCTAAAGCACCTACTTAGAACAAGCTTAGCAAAGCACCAGGGACCACGGTTCTATCCCTCAGCACCACATGCCAGCCAGCCCCGCCCCCTGGTGGGCTGAGCTGACCACACACACACACACACACACACACACACACGCACACAAATTTCTTTCAAAGTTAAATTTCCCCCTTAAAAATTGTTTTGTGAATTGTCCCAAATTCTTTTGACAAAGTTTAAATTCATACCTCTTATCCTGGCATGGTGGTGCACAATGTATAATCCTGTGACCTCAGCTGTTCATCATTTTCATATGAAGAAGCCAAGGTGTAGATATATTAAGAAATTTACACAAGGTTACACAGCTAATAAATTGCTAACTGGAAGTTTATTGTGCTCATTTTTTCAGGTTTTAAATCAAGTCAGATCTGAGTCAGTGCTCTGAACTTTACTGTATGGTCTCTCAAGTGTGAACATATAAGATATTGTTTGTCATTGGTAGTTATAACTAATGCTTTTACTTATATAGCTAGTAATTAGGCTTTGGTGAATTACAGCCTTTACCCCTAAACATAAATTTATTTATTTATTTACCAGAGATTGAACTCAGAACCTTGCTCTTGCCAGGCAGGTGCTTATGCCTCCATAAGTGTTTTAAGACATGCGGAAATGGGACAAAAACCATGTGTTCCCAGCTAAGTATTGGAGTACTTCTGACCAAGAGTTCTGTGTAATAGATGGCTTTCATTACTGATGGAACCTGGGCTTTGCTTTATGTTAATCATAGTTGTAGCTATAATACTGCACTATTGGTTTGTTTCTCTAGTTCCTTTTGCATCTCACCCTTCACATCTGGTATCCCATGGTTAAGAAGTGCCATGGCAAAGTTTAATTAAAAGTAGCACTATTTTGTGATGATGTAACAGTTAAAAAGGTTCTAGGATCCATACTGGAAATCTTTGGTTTTGGGCTGTGTGTCTGTCTTTCTCTCTCTCTTTTTTTTTTT